CACTCGCCTCGCCATTATACACGCAACGTTGCGTGTGGATCTTCACAAGGCTATTTGTTTCAACAGCTGATTTAAAGATCGGCGGTAATCTATTGTTTTGCGTCATAGGAAGCACCTAAGATACTTTCATCAGCTAAGTTGATGGTGTAAATTGACCACCGAGGTTGAAGAGTTTCTAAGCTGACGTTTCGATCGTTAGCCCTTCGTCAGATCGATTGGGAGAATTGTGGATAATGTTGTGATCATGTTTGGGACAATTATTCGAGACAGTAAAAAAAGAAACCAGAAAAGCTGAAGTACGTTATATTTCATTTATTTTCTGGGGAAAAACTAATTACACATAAAATAGGTTCTTGAGTCTCAAGAGCGGCATAGATTAAGGTAAATTTACAACAATTCCCACGGTCAGCCCGTATGCTCTCCCTTGAAATTACTACTACACCCGTGTAGTTACTCAATCAAGAGAGCTCAAATCCAACGCGAAGGTAATGACGAATAATTTCTAGAAACTGCCCTGACTTTGCATTTTAGATTGGTTCCTTTAAAGCGTTTGCCCATTGTACATAATCCGTCATCTCTATCATTATACGAACTCAGTAGTTAAAAACTTGTTCGTTAAAAATGACGCATTTCATTTCCGATAGATTAAAAAAAAGCTGTATTGAAATCGGCAAAATCAGTTAAAAAACAAAACGTTTAAGTTTGATCTGAATACATTATGAATCACAAAGAACTGTTTCTAATGATCGCAACAAAGTATACTCCCCCGACTCGAACTACGCGGCTAGTCGAACCAAAATCCATTAATTTCAGCTACATAGTCTGCATAACAATTGTAATCACGTTGCTCTCCAAGCCTAGGCTCTCGGTCCATACGACCAAGCGTAAAGTGGGTACGGGAAAAAATGCGCGCGTCAGGCAAACGAAAAAATAACGCTTGTTCTGCTGACTATCCCCTGGGTTTCCTTGATACAATTACAATCATCTTTTCCTTATCTAGTCCCAACCAGTTCTAGTTACCCTTTGGGATATTATTCTTTATTTTTTCAAGAATCTCAGCTTCGATCAGTTGAATCAAGTTTATAAATCCTACCTAACAGTCACAACAAACGTTACAGTACTGTAGTCTTAAGCAGAAAGTTATTCCAAGCATTCGTTTTTTCTCAGTTTTTTTTCTGTGGCACTACTTAGGGCATATTCGACCTACAATGCAAGGTATCCGCACATAGCTTTGCTTTGCTCTCCTTTTCAAAAATTCCCCATTTTCAACCGACTTTGTTACCCCGTGATTAGACTCGATTAAAATACCCGAAAATATCGACAAATGTAAGACAGTGAACACCATTTTTTATTCATTTTTCGCTAGACAATTGTTCACAAATCCCGATATCGTTAACTCTCAATTACGGGCAGCTGAGCTCCCAGTAAACAGAAGTCGACTGCAATAGGATAATTTAATTTATGTAAATTATGTAATTTATGTAATTTAATGTAATTTATGTAAAGGACTTTACTATTAGAAGGTGCTTAAATTTAAATCAAAATATACATTTGATGGAAATCTTTCTCAGAAAATCTTAATTTTAGAGGTAGCAAAACAATGATAATGACAGTAAGAATAGAGAAGTGAAGCAAAATACAAAATAATTGTTTCTAAAACCACTGATAATCATACAATGAGTCATTACTACAAGGAGACTGAGCAAAGTGATTGTTAAAAGGGGAGTTTTCTTGTGTGTTGTTTGAATGTGGTGAGCTATTAGCAACAGGAAGTCTGTCCTGTGGAAAGTTAGAGTCCAGAGGACTTGTGCAATTTGAATTGGACGATGGATTTGTTTGCGATCGTAGCATTTGTTGCTGTTGTTGTATTCGTTGCATTTGATGATGTGCAAGTGGTTGCTGCAAGTGTTGTGGTGGTAAATGTTGTAATCGTACTTGTTTTTGTTGTTGCTGGTACCCCTGAAACTGTTCCTGTTGTTGTTGTGTGCGTTGTTGTATATTCATTTGTTCTTGAAATTGTTCTGCTAGAAGCTGTTGCCGGTACAACATCACTTGGTCCTGCGGTGTACGTTGTGTTGACTCGTAGTAGAGCATTTGTTGTATAACTGGCGTCTGTTGCTGCCACTGAACTTGGTCAACTTGTCTTTGAAGCCAACGTTCTTGATCATAATAACTTCTCTGTTGTCTCTCGGCGATCTCATGATGGTTTTGTTCTGAATTAGCAGTAGAACCTTGGGCTTCACTGGAGCAACTTTTCACCTCCATCCCCACTATTCTCGCAGATAAAATGGCAGAACTTTCTGCCGTTAATTTTTCAGCTCTCGAACCATTACAAACTTCCCGCAATTCTCCATATTTTGACATCATTTCTTGAATCGTTCTGTATTCGTTCTCGACTTTCTCTGCAGATTTCTCCTTTTCGAGACGTTCAAGCAAATCTCGCAATTCACCCTGAATACTTATTTGCTTTTGAATCGTAAGAAGCTCTTTCGATTGCTTGTTGATCGTTTCGATAACCTGTACATACTTTTCTTCCAGGAATTTATGGAGGCTGTGTTGCGCGATTGTCAAGTCCGAGGGAAAGTTAATGCTACTTAGAAACTGGAAGCTTTCTTGCATATCAATTAGTTGATTGTCTTCTGAACCATTTGTGTTAGACACTGGCGAACTGCAGTCACTCTGAGAATCTAGTGATCCAGCTCTTTGACGTCTCGCCGTTTTCTCCAAAGCTGATTTTCCTGACAAGTTATTACCATCGATTTCCATCACTTCGCTTTGACAACTTTGCGCATCAATGTTTTTGGGAATTAATGAGCTATTCGGAGAATTATTTTTTCGTGCATTTCCCTCGTTTACACTTAATTCAATCGACGCGAATTTCCGTTTATCGCGTGCCAAAATTTCTCCCTGTTTCTCGCAAACTTCACTCTGCGAAACCACCCATGTTAGACTGGTTACTGCGTTTGGTTTGGAATCCCACTCACTGTAAGACACATCGTAACGGGACTGAAGCCAGATCCATGATTGTCCCTTGGTGCGATGTCGATAAAAACAAGTTGTGATTTTTCCGTTTGAAAGCAACCATCGATGATATTCCACCAAATTTTCAAGGTCTTCCGTGTGACAGTATTCGTAAACAGATTTGCCAATTAACTCAGACGGAAAGAATCCCAGAACCGAGGCGACATGTTTGTCCAGGTAACCATATTTACCTTGCATGGTCAAAGTCGCCGTGAATTTTGTTTGAGCACCATCCGCTTTCGACAGAACTTTTTCAGAGGGAACGCCACTTAATGGTTTCGCTAGTAGCACTAGATACTCGGAAACATCAATATCCACGCTGCTCTGGGGCTTGGGAAAATTTTTAAGAATTGTTCCAACGCAGTAGATCGTTTCAAACTCGTGCGAACCGCGGCGAAATTGGCACCAAAATGGCTCCAGACGTTGCGACTGTCTAGTCGTCGCGAGTAGGGACAGTATTCTCTGGAAAATGATCGCATCTCGCGTGCCGATGAATTCAAACACGTTTCTGTCAAGTATACTCTGCGGTAAATGTCCTAAACAAGCTTGCGCATTGTCTGAAACATAAACAACTTGTCCTGTCTGGTTGAGAGCAATTATTACCATGTTCATCGACTCTAAATAAACAAAGTTGAATTCATCGTCCGCTACGAACGCAGGCTTCACGCGTTTTTGCCATCCTTTCGAAGCTTTCTCAGCCGCTAATTTTTCCTGCTCGAGAAAATATTCACCGGTAAGTTTCAAAATGGAACTCTTCTCGGTGCTTTTTTTCGTGTGGCATCTGTCTGCTAAGTAAATAGCAAGTTCGTCGATTAGTCCATTGAATCTACCACGACGTTTCTTCTCCGTTTGATTGCGGTCAATTCGTTTACTTTCACTGTCGTCCAACTCTGGCCGCACGAGCTTAGACGGCTTCATGTTCCCTTGCAAATTTTTTCGTTCCTCTCGGAATCTCGGGGCCAGACGGGATCCTGGCAAGTGAATATGCTTTGTTAAACAATTGTCAAATATGATTGGTTGATTTTGAAAGGTCACGTAGAGACCGGAACAATCAATTCTCCGAGGGATTCCCAGTACCATTGAAAATGGAGACGCAGGCATCGATTTATATAGACAAAGTATGCAATATAAATATCTTTTTTTAGTATTGACATTCCTGTGCAAATTTTGGATTGAATCATACCATTGCAAACAGAAAATTATTTTGAGATATGATTCCGCTAACCACTGTCCACTGAAACTGTTTATAGTTTGAAGATTATTTTCTAGTTTGCAAGGTTGCTTGCTACAGCGAAGGAATTTTTTAATCTGGAAATTGGCAACCTAGAAGGAAACGATTCTTTCAATCGGAGAGAATGATTTCGTAAGCTTTTTATTACACATTAGGTATTCACATGCATTAGACAGTGCGGTAAAGAATGAACTTCGCATTTCAAGGCAAAATTCTAATCCGAGTTCCGCCCCCGAAAAAGGGTAACATATGCAAGGCAGAAAATTTAATTTGTATTTCGGTATGCCTTTTTTCCTAAACAAATGTAATGAGTTCTGAAAGATCACAGCAAGTCCAGTCTGCATGCATGCTGTTGTCACCACCCGAAACTATTAGCGGTTGTTTTCCGTCTCGAGGCAGGAGTCGAGATTTATTGCTCTCACTGAAATGAATGTTAAGTGACACGATTTGCACCTGAGAGACCGATTAAATTTAAGCCTTTCATCCGAATCACTTTGTTCTCAGATGACGCCATTAAAAATCGCAAGACCTATCGAAAACTTTCCCTCCTAAAAGGAGAAAACAAAAGCTTAAAATTGAGCTTTACGTAAATTTCACTGTGATAAGATTTTGAATTAAAAGAAAGAAAAAAAAACATACTTTTCATATATTGTGCAACATCAGGTCACATGACACCAAAAGTGCCCTTATCGTGTGACCTTTAACCCCTAGGCACTCAAAGCATCAGAGAATGTGTTCACGTGAGCATCAGCTTGTATCAGCTGGGTTTCATTTGTTACATCACTTATCGCAATTCGACAGACATCTCCGCTGTTCCTCTCGGAATTTTACGTAAAGCACCAATATGGTGTTTTCATTACAGGCGAAGCTTCGTCTGAGAAAAATAAACTGACGAGAAATGTATGGCAAACAAACCGAAGAAGACAACGAAAGAAAAAAAACTTACTTATGCCCGAATGAGAAAAATTTCAATGCACCTTAGGAGATTTCAACAAAGTAAAGTGAAGTTGAAGATGAGGTGCAGTACCTTTCTTTTATTTCTTTCCCTTTTTTATTATTTTATTTTTGGCTTTTCCAGAAACGCACGCGACTGTTGCCTTTTTCATATTTACCTACATAGCGCCTGCATTCTGGCCAAACATTTTTTGCCAGTAAATCATCAGCAGAAAAATCTCACAGATGGTAACCAGGCTTTTTATACATCAATAGTTTAAAAATATCTTAAATGATTGACTTTCACTATTTTCGATGGCGTGATAGTTAAAACACAGGCATGTCAGACGTTTGGAAATGCCCATGTTCTCTTTACATGCCATTTTCTTTGTACAAGATCACGAACTGGTGCAGTCACGAAATGGCCATGTAGACAGCACGTAGACAAACAAGTAGCTCAGAGGAAACTTTATGTGTAAAACAAATACTGCCCCAAATAAAGCGCTCAAAGAAGTGCTAAAACCTTGCCTAACACAATCTTCTGTGGCTTATGAATACAAATTATTCACCTTACATTAGTTTACGAAGTTCTTACCGTTTAGTTTACTGAGTAAACTCAAAACTTCTGTTCGATTTATTCAAGGTTGCTCAACGTGCCAGGATTCTTATTAATTACGTAGCGGAGTATGTTGCTGCGTGACACGAGTTGTGTGACGAACGAAAGAGACAAGTTCTTCACCAACATTTGCTTCCACGAGACAAAAACAGTTGCAAATCCGTGAAATCCCACCAAAATTTAATTCCTCGTGGTAAACAACGAATCCTATAGAAAGTTCTAGCCTTGACTACGGAGAGGCTACGCGAACGAACACTGACCACATTTTTGCACATCAAAGGTCACACTCCTCTGTTCTCTTGCGGGAGAGCACGAGCTCTGGGAACGAGATTGGCAGAATGGCGGACACAATTTCAGCGTAGAGATGAAAGTATATTTGGGTGTCTACGAAAGGTTTTTCGCGGCAGAAACTGCCATAAAATCTGCAGAAAAATATGCGCCATCTTTTTAACAAGGTCAATATCTGCAAATATGCTTACTTGAAATGTCGAGCTTTATCGCAGTGGATAGGTGAGGTCAGTACTGGAAAGCTTGCTGATTTCATCACTCGCTGGTCTTGACTTTATTCAGTTCTTGACATGTAATGTTAACTTTTTCAAAGAGTAACACAAATAAACTCATTTAACATCATGCAAATACATAAGCAAAATCCTACGGCACGACTTGACAACGTACAGTCTTACCCCACACGTTCTCAGGGGTGGGATGGGGTGGGGTAGCCATTGCACACTTTATAAAAGTTTCTTTGATGGGTGATTCAAAGTTACCTCGTCGACTGTCGGTTTTTCTAGAGAGCTATTCTCTGCAGTTACCCCCTTGATTGGGATAGAAGCAAATAATGTAATGCTCCATGTTCAGAAGCTTTCCTTTATCTCTGGTGTTTCGTCTTCACAGTGTTCTTTTTGTTTTATGGTTTGGAAAATCTTCACCACATCAAAATAATTATAAATATAATTTCTCTTGCATCACACAAGATAACATACCTTCTTAGTTTGGTAGTTTGGTAATTATTAATTATACCAATACATTTAACTAGTTGTTTTGTGTTAATTAGGTTTCAGTGTATAGGTCAATATCCCAGAATCCCTATGAAAACTTGGCCTTTGAAGACTGGTATGTACAATTTAGAAATATTTGTAGTTTATATATAAATAATTATTCGACACGCTTGTGGAAAACATGGCAAGGGAGGAATCAGGAGAATGAAATGTCAAATTGGTAGAGCATGCTGTATAGAGGCTGATTTGAAATTACAAGTATTTTCAACCTTGAATTTATGAACCTGCTAAATTCTTGCACTGTCTACTTAAAGCCAAATTTGTTGTATGATTGGTTCTCTTCCAGGGTTTTCTTTATTTTGAGTGGTTAGTATTGACTTAAAATAGTGAAATCCAAAGGGTTCCAATAGCTGCGGTTCTGCCAAATTACAAATACTTGTAGTTATACAAATCAAATTGTTTGAAACATAAATCATATTCATACTTGTAGAGTTACAGGTGAAGTTTTTCTTTTCTTCTCTTGAAAATCATAGGTTATATCTTAATACTGACCTAACAGATAGGAGAATTCTCTTTTTGTGGAGAAATGAACCCACGGTAAGCTGATTATGTCACTATGAAATCCAATTAAGTGAAACATGTTTGACTAAAAATAATCCAGTGAATGGCACTTAATGTCACATATCCAGGAATTTCAATGACTTTATTGAGGAGCAGCTGCCAATAGATGCAATAGGCAGCTGAGCCATAAGCCAAAATCCAAACTAGAGAGCCTGATTGCAGGTGAAACAGATGGTAGTGAGAAGTCCTATAGGTGGTGCTTGACTGCCCATAACTGACTTTTATTGGAACCCCTGTATACCAAAACAACAAGTTAAAGGACAAATGAATAAAGGGATTAAGTTTCTAAATAAACTGTGGTGCTGTGTTGGTGGAGGAGTATAACAAAATAATTCAGTTGATCAATGGAGTTGATAAATGTAAATTGGCCGCCATAAAAAGTTTCAAAGCTGACACTTTGAGCATTAGCTTCTTGTCATTTGCTCTGATGAAAGGCTAGCGATTAAGAAATCACCTTTGAAATTCTTTATGGTGGCCAGTTTACAAATATCAACTCAGTTAATAAAACCAAACTATCTTGACACACTTAAAGGTTGTGTTACAGTGGCAACATGGTGCCACAGTCTAGTGTCTGTCACACTGTTACATTTAGTAACCTTCAGAATTCAACAAGGTGATGTTGGAACTACATCTTTAAATATCTTCAGTGATGTTTACATAGCATCAGATTTCTTTGTCAATTTGGGTGTTAAGAAAAGAAAAGAAAAACAACAGGCATTGACTTGAAAAAAGTCAACAGATATCAACTGAGTTTTAAATGTTTAATTTTTATTGAGGGTGTTAAGACAAGCTGCAGTTTTCTAAATGTGCCAGCTTTTTTATTTTTAATATACTTGTACACTGCACACTTTTATCTTAATAATTTATGATACAGACACATTTGATGTAGCTTATGTTTTTTAACTCTTTAACTCTCAGATCAAATTTGCAATTCTCCTTACTGTTAACCATACAATTCTTATAATGTTAGTTCAGAGAATTTAGTATTGGATCAAATATCCCCAAATTGGTATTTTTCTTTGTTCTCATCACTTTTCTGGTTGATATTGTATTGATATTGTAAGGAGAAATTCTGTCTTGGTCACTCATGAGAGTTAAAGGGTTAAAATATGTGACCAACGATTATCAAATGAATGAAAAACAAATAAAATAATAATTGTGAACTTTATGTTTCAGATAGTTATTGGCAGACACCAGGTTTGGGAAATTATTTCTTACTATCATAAACTCTTTCTAGCTTACTTTCAATAATAGTTGTCAACATAGCAGTATGTCAGAAGACTTTTCAAAACATTAAATAGCAACTCAGCTCACCCTCTCTACACCCTTTTGCCTAGAATACAGGAATCCTCTTGTAAATGGTGTGAACAATTTTAAAAAATATGGACTTAACATTTTAAAAATAGCTCTTTTGATAGATTGATTTTAGATATATATTAGTAATATACAGTTGTTAATTTTCTTATAGTAAGTGGTTAATTTTTAGTATGATTCATAAAATATTTTTGCTTGCCTTTGATTGCTCTAAATACATCACGTGACTGAATATCCCCAGCTTAAACTGGGTGATATTTGAGATTATCACCCAAGGGACGTTCTCCAATATTCAAACCTTATGTCCACTATAGTAAGTCTATGTTTCAAATTTAATTCAAGATGAGAGAGAATTTTATGGTTACTACAGAAGAAGTAAAATCTTTATTTTGTTCATCATTAAGTTGTACCTGATAACACTCAAAAGAGAAACATTCCATGCTGAATACAGTAAGCTGTTTGTCAATATTTTTCACACACATTGCAAAATATCTGAAGGATGATTAACACAGTAGCCTCTATTTTGCATGGACGGTGAACATATACATGTGCATATCTTTGCACTAAATAGAGGGTTTTTTGTTTATTTTAGTTAATTTCATCTTGTAACTTTTGATATATATTTTTATTAAATGAATAATGGATGTTGATGAGACCTAATTTTTTTTTGCCTTCAGAATCCCTGGGCAGAATGTAGTTTAAAGAGTCTTCAGCAATTTAATGTCCATTTGGCAAGGAGGAAAAGTGGTGGTGGAACAGTTTACCACGTGAGTGATCCAGCTTAACTTTCTCTCCTCTGTCTTTCAATAAAGTAAGGTTTGGAATAAATAATTAGTAATTATCCACCAAAGTGGAGGTGAATAGTGGTGGATATTTACAGAGCTGCAAAACAGTGAGGTGAATATGCACCACTTTCTCTGATTCTTGAGGTAAATAATTGCTTTAGTATGTACCACATAGACACAAAAAAATTAGTTTATTTCTGGACAATACACCAAAAAATTATTGGAAGTTAAACTCATAATGCAGTAATTTGTCTCACTGGTTGCCTGGAGGTGAATGGTACTTGCTAATCACTTTCGAACTAGCCAAGCAGCATGTGCAAAAAGTACTATTCATGTGTGCGGTACATACTAATTAACATTCATGTAATGCTCTTTGTATAAAGATCGTTCAAAATCTATTTTCACCCATTTTGCTACTTTTTTGAGCCCCCAAAAAAACCACATATAAACACCAATCCATCCATTTACTCCAAGTGAAAACTTTGAAGTTGTATTTGTTAAACATCAGTTTTTTGTCATTTAAAGCCAGTTTTGTGTGACAGGTGATGCCAATTATCAGGTGATTCTGAAAGATGTACTTTCTCCTTCACTGAAGCCATCATCATAATGATAATTGTCGTAGACTGCAATTTTTATGTTAATGCTCTAGGGACTGCCTTTTAAAAGATGCTGTCTGGCAAAGTTCATAGAGTTTTCTGCAACAAAGCGCTGATTTTTATAACATTTTTAAATGTTTGGTCTTTTTTACTTACATATGGTTCAAATTTTAATTGATTATTTTTTAGGATTTAGGAAATGTCAATTTCTCTTTCTTTACTGCTCGTGAACTCTACAATCGCAAAGAAAACTTAGCTCTTATTGTGAAAGTATTACGTGAAAGATGGAAACTAGATGTTGAAGCTTCTCCTAGAGATGACATACTTATTGATGGAAAATTTAAAATATCCTTTTTATGCTATGGTCTGAAATACATCAGGTTCTATTT